CCTGAGTATCTCCATAAAATTACCTACAGAGTCCATGATAGATCCTTCTAAATCCATATCTACCCCCTTTCGCAACTCTGTTACACAACCATATTGTCATGTGTAGGGTGGTACGCGTGACGAAAATGACGGGTTGTAGTTCGGATGATTGGATTTATCATCACCTTGGTCACAAAATTCCTTCATCACACTGAAATACAGCGCTATCGCTGATTTACACATTTTCCAGTTCACCGCTGCACACGCACTAGGTTTATCTGTCTTCACTAGTCGTCTCCTGGCAACGGATCTCAACACAGAAAGTAGCACTTCAAATCACTATGAAGTCCTCTTGCTATTTTGTCATCAATTACTCTGGAACCTCGAAACTAAAAATTCTTCTGGACTTACTCCTCCAGCTTACGGCTGACTCGTAACTGCCCCTGAATTAACTCTGTCACTGCATTTACTTCTTTTATAAGCACTCTGCACAGACCCTACGGAAAACACCGTCTCTATTGTTGCTGACGTCACTGTTTACGCGGAAGTGTATTTACCGACCTGCTGCTCAAAAACGGGTTGGATATCTCCGTTGTTCCACCGATCCTCAGGGTGGACGACATAGAAAACACACCCTCATCTACTGCTGCGTGTTGGACCGTGTTTACAGAGCTGTTGCCTGGCAACGCGTTGATCAAATCTGTCACAATATTTACAATGTTTGGGTCTCCAAGGCAAAATGAAGAGGTCAATATATGCAACAACAAATTTCGGTCATGACAGTTCGTGTTTGCTTGTTATTCTCATTTCTTATAATTAATATCAGGGTTTGAATCCTTGTTACACAGCTAGTGGGGTGGGAATATTTTTTTTAATGCTAGTGGGGTGGGACTAAGTCCCTTGTACTGCGGCCACGTCTGGCCTATTGTACCAGCCCCAGATGATAGGTGAGGGTGATTGTGGAGCAATTGGTGGAATGAAGATTGGCAGGGGAAACCGAAGTACTCGGAGAAAACTTGCCCAGCGCCACTTTGTCCACCAGACCCGGGGTCGAACCCGGAACGCCGCGGTGGGACTAACCGCGTGAGCTAGGGCGCGACCTCGACGGAGGTTAGTAGCCAGTTTCACAGCCCGACCGTTTAACCTCTGGGAATACCGCCCCCGGGCCCTGGAGTCGGATTGGACGCTGTGAAGGGGTTAAAACCTACTCCTGTAGCGAATAATCGAATCCCGATTTCTCGGCTACCTAGCTGTCCAGGCTGGCACTTGTAAAGCGATAAAGCTCTACAAATGAATATTCGCAACAGATGTTTTCAACGCTCCGGCCGCTTTCGCCCTTTGAAAAAGCCCCTGAGATCCGCTGTATAGGCTGAGTGAGTCACAGTTGATCCGAATGCTGTCTAACAAATAATAATCCTTATCATTCCGGGAATCGAATCCCGATCGCCCATACCGTAGCCATTGATGCATCTATTTAAGCTTCTAAATTACGTTGATCTTACCTTAAGTGATCATACGAACATATAATATAACATTTCATCAACTGATAACATCAAGCAAACAGGGTGCTTTCAGTGATCTAGAGTTGTATTGCAGAGGTGTCTGGTTCAAATCTCGGCCGAGAAACCGGCTATACTGACAGATTTTTCGTAGTTTTCTTCTGTCCCTGCAGACAAATTCCGTTATGGTAACTCGATTAGGCCACATCAGATTCCTCTTTATCATCCTAAAATCCGAAGCAACATAATCTTGATACTGATAGAAAAAAGTAAAGCTCTCTCTGTAACAGGCCGTGGAGGCCCATAGGGTGGTGGGACGTCGAGGCTCCCAGACTTTCTCTAAACAGTCGGCTCACAGATGGCGGTAAGGTTGTCAGCCTTACGCTCCGGCCGCCCTTTAACCCTACGAAGATTCTTGGTTCTCATTTCTGTTAGAGGTTGAGTTGACAACAGGGCCATAGTGCGGTTGGAAGGATTAGGCCAATTGAAAAATCCAATGACCTCATTGGGAATTGAACCCGCTACCTTCTGGCTTGTGGCATAGCCCCTCAACCAACTACGCTACTATGGGCATCTTTGACACTGACAGCATCGTTAAATGGCACATCGAAAAACAATAGCTTTGAATAGCAAGATGAGCTTAAAGCTAAACTGTATCGACAGTAAATGGACGGTAAAGGTAAAAGTCTCTCAGTGCTTTAAATGAGACATGGCCGAGTGGGGGTGAAAATCGGCGCATTCTTAGCATTTCGCCACGAACGTTTTAACCCCAGGGAAATAGCACATGTACCCAAAGGTCATGGCCGGTCTAGACACGGTGATGAAGCGAAATAACTCCGCCCGAATCGAACCCCGGAGGACCTGAAAACTATATTTCTTCTCGGACTGGTACATACACATATGTACCTTCAGAAGGAGTTTTCTCAACACAGAGGCTGTTCCCATATTTGTACCATTCCCGAACTTTCTTACGCCTCAGTATCTCGTAAAATTAATTTTTCGTACGCACACTTGGTTTGAGAATAGTATGAAAAGGGAAATTTCCCACGTGTCCTCGGATGGAAATACTTTCAGAACTACTTCTCTTTGTATACTTCGCCTCGGAAATCTTTTCGAATTCTTCACTTCACGAAATTCTCTGTTAATAATTTTGGCGACTCTACTGTGAAAGATCTATCCTTTGTATCGAGAACTTGGGAGTATGAAGGATTATAACAGATCCTTCAACAAAGGAGATTTATTTAAAGCTTATGGAGGAAATATCTAACTAAGAGAGAACAAGTTCCGGGTGCAATAAATTGTGTTCACGTAACAACAGTTGAAGACAATAGCGAGTGGGCCAGAAACAGAGCCTGAAAGAATTTTAATTAAAACCATTAATTTTTCTTACTTTGAGGAATCAATACAGATTATATGCGTTTGAAAGCAACGTGTTTTGGTCCCAGTGAACAATTTGGTAAGAGAGGGTTGGTAACTTACCGTAAAGGTGCGTCCACATTACTCGTGCTCGTGCTCGCCAGGCTTGTGCTCGTCGGGAGACTCGTCTGGCTTTTACTTGTGCTCGTAAATCTTCGTCCACATTACTTCAGTTGCTCGCCAGGCTTCGGCGCGTGAGGATCCGTATATTTACTCGTAGTGTGTATAGGCTGTAGTATTTTAATTTATTGGCTATAGTTTTTAAATTAAAAATTTAGAATTTGATTGTCTCGGTACTTGTCATATCGTCCACATTACTCGCGAGCATAGCGAGTCACATGAGCACGAGCAATGTGGATGCGCCTTAACGAGGAAACTTGCAGTGCATGCAAGTCAACTAGTATTGCTATAGCATAGAATCTTTTGAAACTACGAGGGGCTGGCCATGTATGTCGATGGGAGAGATAAGAAATGTATAGTGAATTCTGGTTTGGAACCACCTGAGACAAAACAATTTGGAAGATCTTGAGAGAAATGGAAAAACAGGGTCAAGCTGAACGTTGGGGAGGTAGATTGTGGGGGTGAGAAACGAACTTAAAGGACTCAGCATTGTTTCTGCTGATTGGTTCTTCTTATTGACAATACGTCCATTAGACTGCAGGGTTCTAATCCGGAGATATACTAGATAGAATTAGTGTGTGAAATTCGCGGTAGCGTACTCGGTTGAGACACTATATTAGAAGTCGAATGGTAGTGGGTTCATTTCCCGATAAGGCCACTGGACTTTTCAATTGACCTAACCTTTCCAGCCGCACTATGACCTTGGAGTAGATTTAGCCTCTAATGAGTACCAAGAATCTTCCTGGGGGTGAAGGGCGGCCGGTGCATAAGGCTGACATCCTCACTGCCATCTGTGAATCAAATGTCTAGAGAATGTGGAAGCCTCGGTGTCTCACAACCCTGTGACCCTCACAGGCCTGTTACCTTTATCTTTCCAGTGGGCTAGATTAGAAATATGAGAATCATTATTCCTAGAATTCATGGTTTAATTTACTGTATAAATCTTATTGCAGATATTTAATTTTTGTAATGGAATGACATAAGGTCATTTCCTGAAGCAACGATGGTATTCACTTTAGTACAATTCATCACAAAATTCTGCTGAATAATTCCATCCATACGAAATAATTGATAAAGCTATTTCGTATATTCTGTTCTTAGGTCTTCTAAAACGTAGGCGAGACTACAAGAGTGTAACTGTACGTAACTTGGAAGAAACATCATATTTTTGCCGTGCACTGGATCCAAATTTGACCCATCGAGACTCAGCTATTAATGAACATGAAACATGAAACTTGCATGCACACGTGCCTTCGTATTAGAACTAATTATATAAGAGTAACATTTTGTGTCATGAACATTGCTCAAATTCTCTTATTACTTGGCAGAATACTGTAGCGTCTAGAACCGTTCCTAGGTAACGATCGTAAACAAAGTGGTTCCCACGGCAACAAATCAACATGCATCAGAGGAATTGTTGGAGGCGGTGTTTTCTGTGGTTCGCGCTGCGAAAATTGACACGCAACGGCGCGGTAAACACTCGTCTACAACAACAGAAAAACTGTGTTTTCTACGTGGTCCATACCGAGGAGTTATCATGAAGATCTTTGGGGCAACAGAGTAAGTCCTGTACAGGAGTCTATGAAGATAGAATTTGAGCCCGGAGGCAGAGGAATAGCCATTGTTGGAGCCGTTACCAGAAATCGTCTAATGATAGGCTGAGAGCACTAGATTGTGTGCTCTAATGAACTGTAAAGTGTGGGAATAGCTATAGTGTTATAGCTATTTGTAGTTAGCGGTCAATAAATCTAGTCAGCAATACAAACCTAGTCTATAGTCACCCCTGTACGTGACAATATTGCAGAAAAATCAGCCAGATTCAATAGACTTCAATTTTCTGAGAAGGTGAGGTACAGCCTATCGCAGACGTAGGGCTCTCTCCTGGGATGTGATATTGTGCAGCATTGTAAATAATTTAACGATCTGCCAGAATACATGACGTCACATCTTAGAAGGGAGTAAACTTGATGATAATCAGCAACTAACCTGTAACAGCTGAGGAAGAGTTTCTTGATTGTACTGGTCTAGCATGCCGTTGGTCGCCTGCAGCTGCTGCACGTATGCGTTGTGGGCATCGAAGTAGCTGGACAAGGAAGTGGTCGTGGGTGCCAGCAGATAAGACAGATAGGCGTTCTTGTAGTCCTGCCGGCACTGGAATAAAAACCTTCGTAGTATTTCATTTCAGATAATCATAGAAATGATTATAAGAAATAAAACTATGTATTTAGAACAATTTAGGTCAATCACAGCAAAAACAACAAATGTTCAGAACATAATCAACTCATTAATATAGGTAGAAGAAACAATTTTTTTTTCGCTTAATCACCTGCAGATTTCAATTTTCAATATAAATATACGAGTTATATGAGATCAGGAATTTTCATGGTGATGAATATTCATACTGTGACCTTAATTAATGCTTAAATGCATACGATAAACCAGTATAGATATACTACAGCTGCCTCCCAATGGTTCTGATTTTCATGCGGAAACATTACACAGTTGTCAATAGAGCTAGTGTCATGGAGTTTTATTGTGTGTCACAAGTCATAGTATGTCAGTGGGTTTGATAAATCTGAAAAGTTAAGAGACACCTCTCTGGTAACGATGAGAGGGAGCTGATGGGCATTTTTTAAAGGCTGTAACGAACCACTGTACAGCAAAACATTCCGCTGAGTGCAAACGCTCCGCCGGCGAAAAGTAGTTCTTGGGGCGATGATCAGTTCAATCTTATGAATGAGGGTCTGTTTAACATAATTATTATCATATTGCGAGGGAGAATCAGTAAATATGTCACAAAATTTACATAAAACGTAATATATACGATATTCGAACATGAAAAAAAAAATTTATATCTCGACATATCCTCCCACCAACACTGATACACCTGTCCCATCGCTTTGCCAGTGCGTCGAAACCCGCAGAATACAAGTTTTTTACTGTTGTCTCAGCCAATTCCGTACCTTCTTTTCATCATCTGCGACTTTCAAACGTCTATAAGATAATTTCTCGACCAAACTGTGAACCGCTTTACGCGACAAACACTTCCCATGGCAAACAGGAAACATTTCGTTATGGATATCCTTTGCATTGAGTCCTTTTGCCCCCAAAGAAACGCAAAACAGAACGCCGCTTTGCGGTATTACTCTTCGAGCACGTTCTCCATTTTGACCACCGAAACCAGCCTCTGAATATGCGCATGCGCGTCTGCTACCTAGACTGTCATGGAGCTGGACTGTGCTGCTACCTAGTGATACATACAGAAAATATATTCCAGCAGTTACAGCTGTTTTACTTCCATTTGTGCCACGTTTACTGACTCTCCCTCGTATGATAAGCAATAGCTTCGCTCTTATGTAGGGGCTTCCTGCGATTTAGGTGAAGCTACATTTCTCTGGGACTTCACAAACCTTGGCTAACTTGTCCTCTGTCTTGGTAAGAATCGTCTCGTAACTCTCCCGATGTGTGAATACTTTCCTGGACTGAATCTTGCGATGGAAGGAGCGTTCCAGCAGCGGGCGAGACACCTGGCGACCAAGGATGGAAGCTATATCGCTGTGTGCCTGAGAATCGATCTCGACTTCCTGCAGAAGTGTCTCCCACGTGTGGAACAGTGAACTGGGACATGCCGGCCTGCAAGCACGTGACCACGTAACAAATGAAGGTCAGACAGAAGCATTCCTGTGTTAGCAGTATACTGCACTTTTACGGTCTTGGTACGAAAGTATCTCGCAACAAGGACGGGGAAATTAACCGTTTGGGATGGTATTAAACTAGGTAAAATTATAAAACGGAGAAGTGCATGGAGGTAGGCCTAGGCCCACTGGGGCTGTAGTGCCAAGGAAAAAAAATATATAAAGTTGACGTCACCGTTGCAACTGTGTTCAGTATTATCCAGCTATGAGTTACAGTCGTCCTCTTCGAGCTGTACCATTTTCATGCACTTATAAAATTATGGTAAGGTAAAGTTGTCTCGCCGGTCACGGTAGCCGAGCGGTCCAAGGCATGAACTGTCTTCGCTCGCTCGGAAGCCGAGATCGCGGGTTCGAATCCCACTCAGGGCATGGATGTTTGGTGTTTGTATGTGTAAGTGCGTTTTTCTGTGTTTCTGTACAGGTAGAGGCCTTGCGACGAGCTGAAGGAGTCCTACCGAATGTCTAAGATCTAATAGACTTGAAAGGATTCTGACGATGGTCATGCTGTACAGAATTATCAGGCTTATTTTGGACTCTGTCCATCGTCTGGTATATACGACAAAAAACCACAACGTTTCGGAGACTGGATTTGTCTCCGTCCTCAGGTGGATGGGGCAAGATAGATCTACTCAGCTGGGCCCGTTAGAAAGGTTGGTCTCAATCACTGAACAAACCCCGGTCAGCAGAGAACAGCCCATAAACACTTGACAACAGGGTCCATCAGCGGGAGATAAGAGCAAGGAGACAGATCCAGTCTCCGAGCCGTTGTGGTTTTTGTCTTATGTATACCAGACGATGGATAGGGACCAAAATAAACCGAATAGTTCTAAGATCTAGTAAACCGAAGTGAAACGGAGAGTTTCATGGAGGTAGGCCAAGCCCCAAATTGGGGCTATAGGGCCAAAGAAAAAAACGTCTCTGTGCTTAACTAATTAGGCACTACGCCATGAATTCGTATGGGAGAGTGGATGTATAGATACACACTTTCTTGACCTTGGCATTAATTGGAGGTGAGTGGTCAGCTTCACGCCCCGGCCGCTTTACACCTCGGGTAAAGAGCCCCCGGTACCCATTATGTAGGAGGTTGGGGTGGACCTCAGAGCCGGTCTGGACGACTTAGAGAAGAGAAAATTCTTGACCCTACCAGGACTCGAATTTCGATCCCTCGGTAGTCCAGCCCTTAGCCAGTTGCAATACCGACTACGCTATTCCGTTTCCCCAATAAAAATATGAAAATCTTAAATACACTACAAAATAAATATTTATATACTATTTAAGCCTGCATGTGTTTATATATACGCTCACATAACAAATTCTGGTCTTATTTATTAAATTATTTCCTCTATTCAGCATCGGGCTATATGTGTGTCGTAATTTACTGCAACTTATTACAGCGAATTATGAACCATAAATGATATAAACTCCGTCCCAAGTGCAAACAATATATTATATGTCCTTTATCTCGCTCTCCTTTACACTACATGTTTCGACCTCAAACGGCCATCATCAGGTGCATACCTCACGTTGCTGTTACACTGCACTTAGTTTAAAATTTAACATTTAAAAACACATTGTTCCTTTCATTGTTATTATCAACATCTACTTCGTTGGTATCTGTCTGGTTTATAGATTATTTTTGTTACACACGTTAATTTTAATTTCCCTGAATTAGCACTATATAATCTTTAGTTCTAATTTTAAAATCCTTTAAAATACGATCTAGTAACTTTCTCACAATGACTTAACGATATATGTCACAATTTCATAGATGCAACCTCAAAGAGAAATCAGACACAGCTCAGCCAGTCTTCCCTCTCTTTCTTCTCTCTTCTTGCTCCCACTTTGGAGCACAGGGCTGATTTCTCGGTTTCATGATCATTTTACAGAAGGTAGGACTCCTTGGACGGGTGATCAGCTCGTCGCAAGGCCTCTACCTGTACACAGGACAACACAAACACAGGATAAATGCATACACACACCAAACATTCATTCCTTGTGTGGGATTCGAAACCACGATCCCGGCTTCCGAGCAAGCCTCAGTCTTTACTATACACATTTTAAATTACATGCCTTGCCTTATTTTACATAATATTCTATTCTTATACAAGAATTTAATTACATAACTGTCAGCTTTAATTCTTACAGTACCAGGTCAACGCAGTGAAAAAATCATGGGAAAATAATACATACAAAGCTGCTTAACTCTAAATGCAAGGAAATCATTCCTTCCAAATATTCCTTGGTTATGAAATTCAGATAAAAATTTAACAGACAACAGATGTTGTCAGATACAGGTGGGATAGCGCGGTCGGTACAGCGACTGGCTACGGGCTGGAGGACGGAGGGGTTGGAGTTCGAGTCCTGGTTGGGTCATGAATTTTCTCGTCTTCACGTCGTCCAGACTGGTTCTGGGGACCAATGGATATGGGGAACACCTCCCCGATGATATGCGGCCAGGGTATGATACTTTCCACTCATCTCCAACTAGTGCCGAGGTCAAGAAAACGCGGGATATATACACCCACTCCCCATACATCTTCGTGGTGTAGTTCTTAATAAGTTAAACAAAGGGACAAATTCAGTTTTACCATGTGTTGTCAGATACAGCAATTTTTGCAATGGTCGAAATATTCACACTTTTCACTTGTAGGGTCAATGTATCCCATCTAAAAACTTTCCACATACATACAGTGTCAATGTAATCTACAAGAATCGGCCAAGTCCTGAATGTTTCTCACAATTCTGCAGAGATTTTAACTACTGAAATACTAATTACACTTCTCTACTCCTGTCTCTTACTACAAGTTTGTCGAGAAACTTAGATGCCTGGACACTGCAGTGATGGGACACGCATTCATAATGGTCTGTACCGCAGTGGCTGTCGCACGTTAATGAGCAAGTCTGTACGGTCGGAGTACGAGCCTACACACACAGCACAATTAGGTGCAGGCATCTGCACATCGGCTCCTGTGACCCCTGCGCCCCAACCCCCATAGAAGCAGAAGGGCTAGGTTTCGTCAACTGTTATTATAATTAAGGCCGATCCAGAAGGCGCGCGGTCTAGGGCATAAAATGCCTTCGCTCGCTCAAACACTGGGATCGTGGGTTTAAATCCCACTCAAGGCATGGATCTTCGTCTGTGTCTATGTCATTATAACTACAGCTACATAAAATGTCCCAGGAGGAAAGGTCAAAATTCTGGGAGGTCATAGTATCGGTCATTCTAAGCAAAAAACTGTATATGTACACGGATACCATCGCGAACGGTTTCCGAGATACAGCTATTTCACTGCACGGTATAATGTGGACGGTACAGAAGAGCAACACGCCATGTCCGCACACGAGTTGCACCGAGATAGAGCTATTTCACTGCACGGTACACTGTAGACTGTACAGAAGAGCAACACGCCATGTCCGCTCACGAGTTGCACCGAGATAGAGTTATTTCAGTGCACAGTACACAGTACAGACGAGCAGCACGCCATGTCCTCACACGAGTTGCACCGAGCTAGAGCTATTTCACTGTGCAGTAACTGTACAGTGTACAGACGAGCAAAACGCCATGTCCTCACACGAGTTGCACCGAGCTAGAGCTATTTCACTGTGCAGTAACTGTACAGTGTACAGACGAGCAAAACGCCATGTCCTCACACGAGTTGCACCGAGCTAGAGCTATTTCACTGTGCAGTAACTGTACAGTGTACAGACGAGCAAAACGCCATGTCCTCACACGAGTTGCACCGAGATAGAGCTATTTCACTGTACGGTACACTGTACACTGTACAGACGAGCAACACGCCATGCCGTCACACGAGTTGCACCGAGATAGAGCTATTTCACTGTGCAGTAACTGTACAGTGTACAGACGAGCAAAACGCCATGTCCTCACACGAGTTGCCAAGTGCACTGATGTTGACGGTGGAATTTTCGAAAATGTATTATACTAGGTAAACTGTACCAACTTTGTCACTTGAACAATAAATACCGGTATTAGAAGCAGTACACAACATATCTTTCTTATCAACAATTTTGGAACTGTACAGGGAAATATTTCTACCTCGGAAACCGTTGGGAATAAGATACATGTACATATACAGTTCTGTGCTTAGAATGACAGATACTATGAGCACACAGAATATTGACTTTTTCTCCTGAGGCACTCTGTATATGTCTCACTAAACTTAACAGAGAAACCTGAGGCGGCCACAGTCAGTCTTTATAACTCATTCGACATTACATTCGAAACACAATATATAAAGTCGTTAGAAAAGTTCATTAATCATTTGTTATTTACCATATCAAAATAAGACTGAAATTATGTATTTCAGTTTAATACATATATTTTTATTAGTATTCATACCTCATTAACCTTTATGTTCATTTATTGTGTGTACACACGTATGAACGCGACGTTAATCGCAGATTGTACAGCAAAAAAAAAAAGAACATTAAATATTCGCCACATGAAAATATATTTGATGTGAACATGTAGCTTTTATCTTGATTAAATCCGTGCCTGTGGTTTGTACTATCAGATTACTTTCCTTTATAATTTATAACCTAAGTGTATCACATCAATTTCTTTATAAACTCATTAGTAGACGGGTTTCGGCTCCTCAGTAATCTTCACTGCCTTGTGGATCGCAGTTTGTAAACCACTGCCACTTGCACGATTTCCAACACAAACTTTGCCCCTCCTCTAAAAGGTAAAGCTATCGTTGTAACAGAACGTGGAGGCCCATACGGTTGTGAGACGACGAGGCTCCCACAGTTTCTAGAAAATTAGGTCACAGAAGACGGCGAGGTTGTCAGCCTTAAGCTCCGGCCGCCCTTTACCCCCAAAAAGATTACTAGTTCTCATTTCTGCTAGAGGTTGAGTCGACCCCAGGGCCACAGTGCGGTTGGAAGGATTACGTCAATTGAAAAATACAATGACCT